CAGATCCCACCTGGAACCTCTCAAGATCCCACCTAGTCACACCTGAACTTCTCCAGATCCCATCTGGGCACACCTGAACCTCTCCAGATGCCACCTGGAACTTCTCCAGATCCCACCTGAACTTCAGATCCCACCTGGAACCTCTCAAGATCCCAACAAGTCACACCTAGTCACACCTGAACCTCTCCAGATCCCACCTGAACTTCAGATCCCACCTGGAACCTCTCAAGATCTCACCTGGAACCTCCTCAGATCCCACCTGGTCACTCCTGGAACCTCTCCAGATCCCACCTGGAACTTCTCCAGATACCATCTGGTCACACCTGAACTTCTCCAGATCCCACCTGGGTCACACCTGGAACCTCTCCAGATGCCACCTGGGCACACCTGGACTTCTCCAGATCCCACCTGGTCCCACCTGGATCTTGTCCAGATCCTGCCCAGATCCCACCCGGTCACACCTGGAACCTCTCCAGATGCCACCTGGATCCCGCTCAGATGCTGCCCAGATCCCACCTGGATCTTCTCCAAATCCCACCTGGTCCCACCTGGGACTTCCCCAAATCCCACCTGGAACCTCTCCAGATTCCACCATGGTCCCACCTGGATCCTGCTGAGATCTCACCTGGATCCTGAGTGGATCCTGCTGAGATCCCACCCAGATCCCACCTGGAGCCTGCCAAGATCCCACCATGGATCCCACCACGATCCTGTCCAGATCCCACCACAATTCTGCCCAGATCCCACCTGGATCCTGCTGAAATCCCACCTGGATCTCACTGAGATCCCACCATGGTCCCACCACGATCCTGCCCAGATTCCACCATGATCCCACCTCGATCCTGCCCAGATCCCACCTAGAACCTCTCCAGATCCCACCTGGATCTCACCCAGGTTCCACCAAGGTCCCACCTGGATCCTGCCCAGATCCCACCTGGAACCTCTCCAGATCCCACCTGGGTCACACCTGGTACCTCTCCAGATCCCATCCCGGATCCTGCTGAGATCCCCCCATGGTCCCACCAAGACCCTGCCCAGACCCCACCATGGTCCCACCAGGTCCCCACCCCACCCCAAGCTCAGAAACAGCCTCTGGGTCTCCCCACGGGACAATCGGAGACATCCCAAGGTTTCATCATGGCTTCGGGCGGACCCGTCCCCGATTCCCACCACCCGTGGGGGTTGTCCCACTGCCCCGGTGGGGTTGTCTTCTCCTCACCCAGATCTTGATGCTGGGCCCGGTGGCGGCGCACAGCCAGTAGCGGTTGGGGCTGAAGCAGAGAGCGTTGATGACGTCGCCGCCGTCCAACGTGTAGAGGTGCTTGCCCTCGTTGAGGTCCCACAGCATGGCCTGGCCGTCCTGGGGACAACCCAAGAGTCAGGGTGGACCCACCTGGAGGTCCACATGTGGGTCATGGAGGCCAGAAGGTCTCGAGGAGCTCCAAAAGGTCTTGAGGAGCTCCAAAAGGTCTCAGGAACCTCCAGGAAGTTCTCAAGAACCTCCAGGAAGATCTTAAAGAGCTTCAGGAAGATCCCCCAAGAGCTCCAGAACGTCCCCATGAGCTCCAAAAGGTCTCAAGAACCTCCAGGAGGATCTCAAAGAGCTTCAGAAGATCCCCCAGGAGCTCAGGAACGTCCCAGGAACATCCCAGGAACATCCCAGATCTCAAGAGGTTCCCTGGGGTCTCCTAAAAGGTCTCCAAAACCTCCAGGAAGTTCTCAAGAACCTCCAGGAAGATCTCAAAGAGCTTCAGAACAATTCCCCAGGAGCTCAGGAACGTCCCCGTGAGCTCCAAAAGGTCTCAAGGAGCTCCAAAAGATCTCAAGAACCTTTAGGAAGTTCTCAAGCACCTCCATGAAGTTCTCCAGAACCTCCACGAAGTTCTCAAAACCTCCATAAAAGTCTCAAAACCTCCAGGAAGTTCTCAAGAACCTCCATGAAGATCTCCAGAACCTCCATGAAGATCCCCCAGGAGCTGAGGAACCTTCCAGAAACCTCCCAGGACCATTTCAGATCTCAAGAGGTTCCTTGAAGTACCCCAAGAACCTCCATGAAGATCTCCAGAATTTCCATGAAGTTCTCAAAACCTCCATAAAAACCTCCAAAACCTCCATGAATATCTCCAAAACCTCCATGAAGTTCTCCAGAACCTCCATGAAGATCTCCAGAATCTCCATGAAGTTCTCAAAACCTCCATGAATATCTCCAAAACCTCCATGAAGTTCTCAAAACCTCCATAAAGATCTTAAGAACCTCCATAAAGATCTCCAAAACCTCCATGAAGTTCTCCAGAACCTCCATGAAGATCTCCAGAACCTCCACGAAGACCCCCCGGGAGCTGAGGAACCTCCCAGGACCACCCCAGGCGCACCTTGCCGCCGGAGGCGCAGAGCGAGCCGTCGGGGGACACGGTGACCGTGTTGAGGTAGCCCGTGTGGCCGATGTGGTTGGTCTTCAGCTTGCAGTTGGCCAAGTTCCACACCTGGGATGGAGAAATTCCAGGTGAGAAGA